GAGTGAAGAGGGAAAATACAAGGCAGTGAGTACCAGAAGAAAACTAAGTGATAAAAAATTACGAGAAATTTTTTTAAAGACAGTTTTTATTTGCTCCTAAAAGCAAGGTAATGGCAAAAGGTAAAATAAGGAAGAGGAGAGAGTGAAGCAGGGAGGTGGAGAGGGGATAATTTTCAGTGGAGTAAGGGCTTGTGGCTCCCTCAAAATGTGATGGGCAAAGAAATCTTAGGTGAACAAAATTAACAATGTATTGCTGGACAGCCAGGGAGGGCCCTGAAAAATATTGGTATGGAGAGGTCCCAAATTTCCAAGTTGTACAACTGGTCATCAATTTTTTGTAAAGGAAGAAATAGTCTGAAATAATGCTACACACAGAATCTTGAGCACTGGTGAGTGGTTGGCCTCGTCTTGGAAGGAGCACGGCTAGATGATCAGAGACAAGGAGTCTGTGGCTGAATCTGTAGGAGCTGGTATATAAAGTGTGTGGATCTTTACGTCTGATGTCAGGGTCCAACAAAGGGTTTACTTTATATTTATATATTTTAGAGAGACACTAAACAATGAGGTGACTAAGCTTTTGTCTTTACCTACCCAGTGTTCGCACAAAGTAGACATGGTGGTGGGGGTGGAATCTTTACATAGACCCAGCAGCCTGGACTCCCTCTCATGAAGGCTAATCCCACTACCTGTTAAATGTTGTCCCAAAGGCAACAAAGACTGACACTGAGCTTTGAATATGGTACCATCCTTCAAGGAGATCAACCAGCCACTAGATGGCGAGGTGGTCGCACCAGTTGCCTTGCACCCTGGAGGAGGCAGCAACCTTCCTCATTACGATTGATATGAATTCTGGGTGTGGGTTTGCCTCCACTGTTTAGAGTAGTGTAGCCAGCACCTGTTCAAGGACTCATAGTGCCTTTTCTACTGTTATGGGATCCTGCTAAACATCATCATAGCCAAGTTTTTGACTTCACAATAAAGAGGCAAAACAATGTGAATATATCCATAGGATCCACTAGTCTTTATACATCATCAAGAAGTTGCCAGCCTAATAGAAAATTGGCTTAGAAACGTAGCTAAGGCACATTGTGGGGCTGGGCATTGTCATTCAATATGCAGTATATAATTGGTGAACTAAATACCATTATATGTTAACCAGAATATATGGTCCTGGGAATTAAGGGGTTGAAGTAGGATTGTTTCCCACTGACTCCCTCGTGAATTTGTGATCCACTGCCCCACAGCTTGAGTCTCTGCTGGGCTAGACACTCGGTCCTCAGGGTGGATTTTAGTGGTATTTCTACCAGGGGTCATAGTAAGGTTCCACTAAATTTAAAACTACTGCTACCACTGGTCATTTTGTGAACTTGATGTTAGTAGACCAGCCAGCAGGCAATGAAGGAGATTGTGCTACTGGCAGGCTTAAATGACCATGATTTTCATGAGAAAACCTAAGGGAAGCAGAAGTATGTCTGGAACTCGCAGGATTCACTGGGATACTATTGGTGCTTCCAAGGCCTGTTGAGATGCATTGGCAGAAGCCACAACCTAATTGGAGCATAGAAATGGGTTTTCTGGTTCTTCAGGAATGAAGATGTGTGTCTCCCCACCAGGAAAGCAACCTAGATAAGCAGAACTGCTGGCTGAATATAAGCAAAAGGGGGGAAGATCTTGAATATCCATCACTACCATGAAATCAGTTGCAGCAATAAGGACTGTAGCTTAAACTTTCCTATTGTCTGTAATTTTTCTGAAAAATAAGTTTTGGCTATCCACCAAACTGAAGCCCCAGTGATGGAAAGAAGTGAATTTTACATGAAGTATGAGGGGATCTGAGCAGTTTGGGAGATGGTTTTCACAGATGCTGTGGGTGCCCCACCCATATCCCCTTGTCACTTACCCTTTCTGCACATTCTAATGGCATCTTACTACAAATATCAGAGATTCTCTATCTGAGGATTTGCTCTCCACCTACATGTGGCCAGGCCAGGAGTGCTAGGGAATTATGTTCACAGGAGCAGTCCATATCCGGAGATGGAAGGAAGTGGAGGAGAGGCACCCCAGGTTTCTCATCCGTCTTAGAGGGAACTTGGAGGCAGGTTTTAAATTGTTTCCTAGAATTAGCCTAGGAGATTTGAGCTCTTGGTTCCCTCAAAGAGATCTGGTGTATACGTTCCCATTCGCCGGCTTCATTCCCTTCCAGTTTTTACTTTTCCATGCTCCTACCCTGCTTCTTAGGATCACCTTCCAAATAAATCCTTTGTTCTCAAGTCCTTGCCTTAGGAACTGAACCCCAGAAAACACAGCCTGAGAGCTCTTTGTTCATTGTAAAATAGAGATAAAACCAACTACTCTGTAGTATTGTTGTCAGGATCAAATGAGATGTTTAAAATTTCCAGATCTTAGAATCCAATTATTAAAAAGGAGCAATAACACCAGGGTCAAGTTTTCAGATCCCATACCGGCCAGCCACCAAAAAAAAAAAGAGAGAAATAATGTTGTTTGATGATTATGATGATGACTCAGAAAACACCAAAGGACTATAATGAAGTACTTGGCAGTGACTCTTAATATTCACTTATTAGTAGTAGTTACTAAATCTTTGTGCCCTAGCTCTTGTAAAATTGGGAGAAAATATTTGTTAAGAGAATTAAAATAGGATAATCCATATAAAGAAGTGAGCACTGTGCAGGGAGTATAGCAAATGTCTAATAATGTCCTCATTATTATTCATTGTGTATTAAGTGCCAAAAACTTTCTCCTTTCCTGTGACAGGACAAAGTTCTCAGCTACTGAACCTACTATAAAAGCAATAAACTTGGTCCTCTGTGAGTGTATCTGACCTTTTAGAAAATTAGATCACAAAAAATATATGAAGTTTCCCCCTGCCTTGCTTCCAAACTTGAGATAAATATCATCATTTTTCAAGCTACGTAAAATACCATATATTTTGAACAATTGCAAAGCATCTCAAAGTTCTCTTCTAATAACAGTAGGCAATTTCTGGGAAATCAGGCCAATTACATCCATCCTACCCATTAGGCAACACTCACGAAATTCCCGTTATAACACATCTGAGTCTATTCACTGAATTTGCTTTGTGGTTTCAGTTTCCTTAGAGAAGTTTGGAAGATTCCCTTTCGGTTTCTGTTTCCTTCTATTTCATACTCAAACTGTCTGCTTTTAGTAGCAGTTGAGGGTTTGTGTGGCGTGGGGAAGGAGAGAGGAAGTCCACAGGACTGGGTGAGGAAGAAGTATGTAAGAAGCCACCACAATTAAACTAAGGATCAAGAGTTAGAACTTCTACCACATTCTCGTCGAAGAAGCTTTCTTAGCAGCTGTAAAAACCTCTGCTCCTCATTTTCTAATTAAGGTAAGATTGGGGCAAGAGTGGGAGATTTGCAAGGTACAATTTTAAAAGCATTCTGTCCAAGATAGGATGCAGGTTAGCATGATGTGCTGTATCAGTAAAGACTAAATTGTGGTGTTATCAGATAGGTAGCCGAATTTATTAAATGCCAGCTACATTTGCTTCCTGCTGAATGAGACACAAGCATTAAACTGAAAGTTTGAAATACCTTAAAACTGTTTTTCTTTCTTTGCCACATTGTGACCTACTGGGGATCATAACTGCCACTTAAGTTACCTATGTCTTTGATAAAATCTGACTAAGCTGGTAAAAGCTGCAGCCTGAAATTTTCACGAAGCCTGTTTGTATTATTGTATTATTTTCATGAGAAGAGGCAATGAATGAGCAATGGAAATAGCTTGTTAATATTGTTAAAGACAAAAAAATAAAAATGAAAAAGTTGAAACCCAAAGTGAACAATGAAGAAGTTTCATGAAAATTGCAATATATTTTTAATCACAGTCTTGTTCTTTGTCTGGAGGTGGATTTCTTCCTTTAGAAATAGCTCTGACTTAGTTTTGGTTTCTTGGCACCCTCTCACTTGTTAACCGCCTCTGTGTTGGATTCTCCTCCAGTCTGCTCCCAAGTGGTTTCTGTTTTAATTTATTTGTCACCAGGATGTTTTTCAGGGCGTTGGCTATCAGAGAGTAGGGAGAATGGGTCTTTATAATTGTAAAAAGACAGTTTTTTACAGTCTGCTAATAAAGAGATGGGGAATCCAGATGTTTTCATTATAACATTTCAGTGAAAGAAGACAAGTAGATGGTGTATTTATAGCTTCTGTAGTAAATAATCACTTCTAAAATGGAAGAAAACTGTTCTTTGTAATAAGGCGAGGCAGAACAGCAAGTATTTGCTTATATACCATACAACTTAAAAATGTTTTACCAGGAATTGATAACTCTTCAGGTTACAGGAATTGATGCCCAGAAGTTAGAAAATAAATGGTTAAGCGTCACTAAAGTTTATTTACTCATTTAGTCAATCATAAAATGATCATGGTTTGAAGTTTTGGTTTAATAAAGCACACCAGTAACTATGTAATACTTTTAGAAAGAGTATAGCTCCAAGAAGTGAACAACTGTAATTTGTTAGCTAATGCTGCATAACCTGTCAGCATTCAATGTAATGCAGTTTGACTGGACATAGACCTAAATAAGAGAAAAGCAAGTGGATATGGGATGAAAACAACTCATGTAATATAACAAATGATAGCCATAAATAATCAATCTAGGGATTCAAGGAAGTAAAAAATTAAGAAACATAAGCCAAAATCCAGTGAAATAAGAGATAGATTCAAATGAGCAGTAGGTTAGATTCCCCAAATGGCTTTCCCAGTGCCTACCAAATATTTAAGAACCAGTAGGGTAGCCTGTAGAAGACCTGCGAAGGACCTTGAGCTTTTTTTTACTGTGGCCCTTTTTGCTTTCTCTTTTTATATTTTTAAAATTTCTTAAAAATCTGAAACTTTTGCCATGCTGGGGAGTAGTATGTCTCCAGGTTCAGCAAGCAAAATAACTTCCTCTGCTTACACATTAGAAATTCCAGACCATCCCATGTCTTCCCTTGCAGACAAAGTGACAACCTGAACATGACTTCAGAGACCCACATGCCAGGCCCTGTGTGCCTCATTGAGAACACAACAGGGCAACTGGTGATTAATCGAGAGGCTCTGAAGATCCTGTCTGCCGTGACGCAGCCTGTGGTGGTGGTGGCTATTGTGGGCCTCTACCGCACAGGCAAGTCCTACCTGATGAACAAGCTGGCTGGGCAGAAAAAGGGTGAGTGCCCAGCAAAGCTCTGCCGAGTCCCTTCTGTCCACGCACAGTGTCAGCATCCTGAGTGGGGTGTGAGGGGAGAAAGTCAGAGATGGGGATGAACACTGAAAGCCAATGTTTAAGCCACAGTTGGTCGTTCTACCTTCTGGGAAATAAAGGGCAGCTCTCTGTTTCTGACATATCACCTCCCCCCCCGCTTTTTTTTGCCTTAACATCTCCTAGGAAAAAGCATAGTATGTTACCCTCTGTAAGGAGTAAGACATCAATGAAATAATTTTCATATACGTCATTATAAACTATTAAAATTTTAGTAGCATGAAAATATTATAGAAAAACAATCAAATTTCCAACCTATGATATTTGATATTCTTTTTTTTTTTTTTTTCTTTTGTGACCAGTAACGGGATCGCAACCCTAGGCTTGGTGTCGCCCGCACCGCACTCAGCCAGTGAGCGCACTGGTCATCCTTATATAGGATCCGAACCCGCGGTGGGAGCGCCGCTGTGCTCCCAAGCGCTGCACTCTCCCGAGTGCGCCACGGGGCTGGCCCTGATATTCTTTTCCCATCCCTCCATTGTAATTCAGAGCAATGCTGGTTGTACTTTCTGCTGTCTCCTCATCTTGCTTTCATTAAACCCTAGTTCAATTGTCAAGAAAGTCTCCTACTTCCAGAGCCTCTTCTCTATTGCAACCTCTCCACTCCCCCTGGCAGGCTTCTCTGTTGGATCCACGGTGCAGTCTCACACCAAGGGAATCTGGATGTGGTGTGTGCCTCATCCCAAGAAGCCAGAACACACCCTCGTTCTGCTTGACACAGAGGGCCTGGGAGATGTAGAGAAGGTGAGGAAGGAGGATTCTGTTTTGATTAAACTCCTCATCTCTGAACATTCTTCACACAGGGAGTTTTGGTGGTGGTGGTGGTTGGTTTTTTTTCCCCCCTCTAAATTTGTACCTCCACTTGGCCAGAATATACCCTTTTCTTTCCTTTCTATTTTTAATAATAAGAATTTTGAAACCTGAAGTAAGAAAATACATTTATGAACCAGAATCAGTACTAGAGAACTAAACTAATGTTGAGCTAGGCACTTAACCTGATTGCATAAAGATGGTGCAAATAAGATCACTGTTAAAAGCCTGGTCCTATAAAGATTATTGGAAAATAGTGGGCTCTGGAACAGATGAACTTGTGTTCAAATCAGGACTCTGGCGCTTGTAGCTCTCTGACTTTGATAAGAAGAGTAAGTCTCTCCAAATCTTTTATTTTCTCTTTGGGTTTATCCAACTCAATATCTGAACAGTAGATAAATGGGCCTTTTCCAGTTGTATGCTGGTGTTTAACAACATGTTTACTAAGAAAAAAAGCCTTGATTTGTAACACTCAGCCATTTCCTAAATATGAGGGTACTTCAAAAAGTCTGTGGAAAAATAGAATTAAAAGATAATGTGAATCTTTCCATAAACTTTTTGAAGTACCCTCATACGCCTATCATGGCTGATTTCAAGCTACTTTAAGCGAAGTCACTAAACTCAGACTAGGGAAGAGACGTTCAAGACAGGCTCTCAGGAGCTGGGCTGGGCTGGCTCTAGCACACAAACAAATCTTTCTTTTGAGTGTCCATTATTTTCTTTGTGCTTTTTTTTTTTTTGCTTTTGATTATCAAGATTCAGACAGTAAGCCACAATTTGAGTTTCAGTTTCCTTGCCTACAAAAGGGTGATAGTCCTTATAAATGCACTTTATAGCGTTGCTTTTAGAATTAGATAAGATCAGTAAAGTGAACTGCTTTGTGGCTAATAATTACTCAGATTACACACACACACACACACACATTTAAGTAATTATTACCGTATTATATATGTGTGTGTATATGTTTGTGTATATACATGTGTGTAGGGGTGTGTGGGTGTGCATATATACAAAGTGCATATAGGCCAATTTTGTTTTATGCTCTAGAAAACCTCGATTTTAAGTACTCTGGTTACCTCACCAACTTTGATCATCCATTTTGCAAATACTTAACAGGAGTTATAAAAGGGGCTGGTGAGTTAACAATACATGAATTAACATAAAATTATCAATGCTAGCAAGAGAACTATTCAAAGTTCATGTTTCTGACAATCATTTTTGTTTGTCTTCCTTAACATTTGTAGGCTAGGAGCCTAATTTTAATTATTTCTTATCTAGAAATGCCATGAGACATGACTTATATTTGTTCCAACTTCTAGGTTGACAACAATGATACCCAGATCTTTGCACTGGCGCTCCTGCTGAGCAGCACCTTTGTGTACAACACCATGAACAAAATTGACCAGGGGGCTATCGACCGACTGCAGTATCCTTTTGTGGTCCAGAATAGAACCGAAGCCAGAGACAACTCTTTTTTTTTTTTTTTTTTTTTTTTTTTTTTTTTT